CCACCACGCGGGCCCAGTGCGGATTAGTGGATGCTAACGACTGCAGATGCAGCCGGGAGCAACGGCTAACGTGCCTTCCGAAGCACGGAGGAGCTCGAGATAGTAAATTTTTAGTCAGCCATCCAACGACCGTCCACTGCGAAAGTTGCTTAACTTCAACGATCGCAGCCGAACGCGCTAACCACTTGCGCCATTAAGCTCTCAAATATCTCTTATCTATTAGACAAGTCCGTCCGTCTGTCTGTCTGTGGTGCTGTTTCAGCGGCCAAACCGCAAGAGATAGATAAAGAGAATATTTAAGTTATATGTTAAGAATAGTCTGATAAGACTACAAACCGGATTTGAGTAACGTAGCACTTCCGGTTTTCGAGAAATCACGAATTTCAAACGAAACCACACAAAATCTCCGAAGTTCTCAATTAATTAAATACATCAGGTTTTGGTGAACATTTGGTTCACTGGTTTGCTAGTAATTAAATAAAGCTATATTAAAAGAAAAATATGTTGTACACTACACAAATAAGTATCTATTAGAAACAAAAAGTTTGTCGTGGAGTACCAAGGTAATACATTTATTACGATAAAAGATCATACACTTTGGTATTGAAAGAAGTGTCTGGGAGCAAGAAAATGTCAATATCATATATCCGACCAATGAATATAAAATGTCTTCCTTTATGCGGGAGTACTTATTTAATTTCCTCCTCAACCACCATACGTCGCTCAATTCATTGTTCTAACTTATGATTTATGATGGATTCGGCTCCTTAGACCCCCAATAATATTATGCATTGAAAAAACGAACGAAATCGTATGATCCACTCGGTGGAACAATGGACGAAGAGAAAAAAAATCCAATAGGTATAATAATAAAAGTCGATTATCTTCGAAATTTTGTAAAGGACACGTTTTCGGGGCGAACGGAGCGCGGCGTCTGTACAATAATGAGCTCAAAAGTGTCCAATCTTACTAGACCGCTAACATACCACCCTTGGCTAGAGCTAATAGCGACTAAACAGACGTAGCGGAGTACCGAACCAGAGATCAAGCTACAACGGCCGATCACGCAAACTGACAGCCGAGTTCGAATTTCAAAAAGAGAATCTTTCTTTTTTCGTCGTCGACTTTTCCACAAGTCATCGCAGCGGCCTGTGTTCTCTCTGTGATTAATACTTTTTCGTTGGATTGTCTATGGTTGTGTGGTTCGTTTTTTTTTTGCTCTCGGCCTCCCGAAGAATCAGACATATTATGGATACCTATTTTTGTGAAATGTGTGCCGCTTTTGAAATGGCGCCATTGTCATTGTAAACGCTTTTATATTGCCCGTGTTATATTGGAGGAGCTTTCATGATTCCATATCGCGTCTGCCGAAATGTCTCTATCCATGTTTTGTGTTGTTATACTCTAATATAATAAGTCAGTTTCAATTTATAATAATAGACATTGATTTCTATAACCTCGGTCCAAATATAGCAAAAAGTCACGTAAAAGCTGCGATATATCTACTTTGCACGATTGAAATACCCCGAGAAAAAATATATTAGGTATACATTAATATATGGAAGTATATCTGCCTAATAAGATTATGTAATTTTTAAGCTTTCTACCCAAGTCGATAATATCGGATACGCTACTGCGATATCTGTACCTTCAGCACGAACCAATATCGAAATCGTAACGTTTGCGAGTCCTTAATCTCATTGTCAAATGTGTACTGATTTTTAGTTCTCGTTACGTACTCTGTGGCGCTGCTGTTCAAGTTTCCATACAAAAGTTGACATTGACATTTCGCACTAGCAAACTATTCGTATAGTTCGTGCTAAGGGTACTGTTTTCAGTACATTATGTAGAACGGTATGAGGCCTATGTCCAGCAGTAGACTAAGATAGGCTGTTGATGATGATGATGTAGAACGGTTACGAAGTTATACACTGCTGCGATAATAAAGACGCAGTAGGAAGTAGGACGCATTATCGCAATAACGCATCCGATACTATCGACCGATATAAACGCTCCTTTAAATGGAGTTGAGGCCATTATGCCAAATTTTCTTTACGCCTAAGTACGATGAGGTTATTATTTACGTAGCCAACGACTCTTAAAAATTAGTAATATAGATAAATCATTTATTCCCATCAGTACAGCACACAAATTCAAGAAAACAAATAGGAGAAAATAATTACTAAATATTTAACAGTGTGCACGCAAACGCTAACGCAACGTACTTTGTGGCGCTGCTGTTCCATAGAAAATTTGATATTGACATTTCGCACTCGCAAACTATTCGAATTCGATAATGGTTCGTACTAGGGGTACAGTACCCCTAGTAGTTGAGATGGAAAATCAAAATTCTAATACATTATGTTACAACAAAAAAATATTTCTGATGTCGTAGTAATTAACTTGATCTAATTTATTGAACATTATTGAGAGATTGAGGCGTTTGAAGTTGGGCATATTATCGTTTTTTCCGTAAACTAGCTGCAGTAAAACGATCAGCACAAAAAAAGGAATATAGTATTTGCGAATATTCTACATTGGACTTACAATAGAAAGAATAATTCTGTTTACTTATATTGGAAATAATAAAAATCTTTTCTAATGTCGTAAAACATTACGATTTTTTGCTAAAAATGTGAAAGGGCTCTTAAGGGTTTAGCAAAAAACCAAAATTAACGCGAGCGAAGTCGCGGGCGGCCGCCATCTTGACTATATTTTTTATACTAGAAAAATTGGAACAAGAATAACATCTCCAATACAGCCATAAACACATTTGTCTGCAACCTTACAATCGCACTGTTCCCTTCAGTTAAGTATCAATAGCATTTATTACACAGGAATTGGTAGTATCGTACAAACTCAACCCTCCCTGTTATATGAGGGGAGCCGAACGCACCTTATATGATTGGCCGTATATACTTTATATAAAACTTAGGGTAGCTCGTGGGGTGACTGACTTCAGCTACACAGAGCCGTATTTAAGAGTGGAGACCGACAATGTTTTTTTTTCATACAAACGTTCGCGACTAATTCCTCCTTTTTTTATTTCACTAAAGAAATGATGAAAAAAATATAACTTTACTCATTCTATGCTCCTATGTCTTCCTTTTTCAATAACTTTTTTTTTTTAAGAAACTTAAAGATCACTTCAATGTAAATAGTCGTTTTTTTTCTAAATGGCTTCGCACGACTAGTGCATTTAGCCAATGTCAAGTGTTAAAATGTTTACAAATACTATAGCACTCGTGGTCAAAGTAATAAATCAAGTCAAAGTAAGTGCAGTCAAGTCAATCCCCCTTTCCCTATGTTTCAGTAAAGTGTGGGGATTTACTGGAACCTCCCCGTGGACTTCTTGAGGGAACGTCGAAAGACACTTTCCGCTATTTTGTTTGCCGCCAACACTTGTGCATGTTCCCGAACACTTAGTGGTTAATAATCCACCATAATTAGACACTAACATCCGCTACAACACAATTTTTAACAAGAAAAACAAAACTGCTAAAGTGGCGCTTCCCGATCCCGCCAAAAAGTTCAATGTAAATAGTCATTGGAAAGAATTATAAAGTTTTTTTTAAGGTTATGAATGTACCTACTAAGTTAAAGAGCTTTGTCGTTTCTGCTTTCACAAATCCGGCGTCTAGCATTAATTTAGTTAACAAAACTAATAAACGGCAACTTTTCTACAAGATATAACAGTTTCTGGGTATATACCCACGAACTTAAATATTTAAGTTCGACGAAAGAAACCACAGTAACACGACAATGACGTTTAGCTGTTAACAAAATTTGTTGACGTCACAATCATGGTGGACAGCGTTTTAAGTGTTTAAAAAAATAAAATAAAAAACAATTTTTCAAATTAAATTACTACAGCTATCTTCTAATTCCATGAAGTGAAATCGATGTATTTAGGTTCCTCAAACCAAAAATTATAAGAAATAAACATTTGTATAGTGCAATTTGACATGAGTCACCTAGCCTATTCTTCGAGGGTGACATAATCAATTTTAATTAAATCCTCCATAATAAAATAAGGAAGAAAAAAGTTGCCCCTGAACCTCCTCACCTCTAAATCCGGCCCTGCAATTACATATTGCGTCCGTTATATTGTAGGAATAATCTTTCTTCATAAAGCTAGCAAATGAGATGAAAATAAACTTATTTTTACGTTTAAAAGGTGGCAAAAAAGTTTACACATCCCTGATAGGAAGCGATTAATGTAGTCTATAAAAAAAACGACGGGTTGCACTCCGGGAGTGCCAGCAGAAGTGAAAACTTGAATATTAACGTTGTGCATTTTTGATATTAGGAATGGTTAGGGAATGATTTTACACGAATTGCTGTAATTATCAATATAACAGTACTATCATGTATGTGGTAGAATACAATAATTATTTATTGCGCTATCGTACACAAACATGACAATTTATATTACATTAAAAAGTTTATCTCTCAGAAAAATCAACTTACATGAATCACGTTTAAGCGCACTTAGCGACATCTGTTGTAAAAAAAATGAACTTACATGAATCACATTTAAGCGCACACTTTGATCCAACTTTAAAGATAGGATAGCTTACATCTCAATTTATAATCGCAGTATTATTTTATTGCAAATTATTACTTTTTGGCGGTCCGTAGTTCGCCGAGTCAGGTAGTTATTTAATAGATATACAAGAATTGGCAATAACTTTGAAATACAGGATGGAGTACTTACCTTATAGCAGAACATGCATAGCAGCAGCAAAAATCTTGAGGCCAAACTGACGTCTATAATGTGCAGCTACCGAAATCGGAAGCGAGATTTTATTCTACAAAATCGCCCTACTGGTGAAGCGAAATTAAATATGAATTGATAACTACGCGAAATCTCCTCACTTGTCGGAAAGGTTATAATAAATAATTAATTATTAAATAGTTAATTAAAATTACTCGGAAAAACTAATAAAAAATATAAAAGGCTAGTTTACACCCCAAAAAACATTAAAAAAACGACGTACCTGTCTCAGTATCAACGGTGTAGGAAAGCCCAGCCCAAGGATCGTCCTGTGAAAGAAAATCTGTTTAAAACTTTATTGTGCACAATAGGGTATTTTCCAAATTTTTGAAAACTGCTTATATTTAAAGATTGGGACAAACGATTTAACAGAATAATAAAAATAAATTAATTAATGTTTATCCCAATATTCATGTTAAGTATTTGCTTAATTTTTCATATATTCAAATGTCCTATTGGATATTGGGACAAAATAAACATAAACAATACCTCTTTAGCTTCCGGATCGAGTAGCGAAGCTTTCACCTTCTCTATGCTTTCTGCTTCTTCTTTTTTCTTCTGGATGGTTTCTGAGAGTTTCTCGTTTTTCTCCATCGCTTCTCCCGTCACCTTGGTAGCTTGAGGACCCTCCTGTGAGAGAAACCAAGAGGTTGATGTTAAAAATAACAAACACAATACATAAATTATACTTTTTTTATTTATTTATTACCAGTTTCAAAGAATCACTACATAGTATAAAGCAAAGTCGCTTCCCGCTGTCTGTCCCTATGTCCCTATGTATGGTTAGATCTTTAAAACTACGCAACGGATTTTGATGTGGTTTTTTTTAATAGATAGAGTGATTCAAAAGGAAGGTTTATATGTATAATACGTGCATAATATAGTAGAGAAACACTGATATTTTTAAAGGGTTTTAATGTAAGGTCGTAAATAAACACATTTTTTTGCGCTTACATTGCAATCGCTGGCTGAACCCTACGGGATAGATCAAAATAATGTACTACAGTATTGTACACCTTAAAAAGGTCTACAAAAAAGTCCGTAATGGTATATGTCTATCTGTTAGGGATAACCCACAATAAGCATTTTTTATCCTATACTTTTTACGAGAAATAACAGATTATTTACGAAGCGATTTTCAGCAATATAATCTTATCCAATTAAGTAAGTTAAATACATTGTGCATTTAATATAGACCAATTTGGCCCTTTAACGCATGTAATTTAAATGAATATTTTCGAAGATATTACAGATTTAAAATGCAGGGACATAGCGGTTCCGACGCTACCGGGCGGGGGGCCTGGCGGCGCGTGCCTATTGTAATTAGGTATTAGAAGAATGTCATTGTGTATAATACAAGCCTGTGAACAAAATCTATAGTCTACACTACAGCTCTCCACCGAAGCGAAGCGAGGGCGGGCCACTAGTATAATATAATTTTGTGATCGCATCGCCTCTTAAAAAGACAAGAGGTTTGAATTTATGCGATGTACGCATGCACGATCATCTTTAACTGCTGAAACTTTAAATATGACTTGTATAGTTTTAAAGCTCTTTCAATTTAATTTTCTCTTCTGACAATACTGTTTATTGTTTTATGGATAAAAGTCTTTATTTCTAAGCCTCCGCTGTGTTGAAAACCTGTTTTTAAATCGCTCTAACAACAAATAAAGATAAAAACTAAGGGAGGTCCCAATTACCTTCTAATATGGTGGTCTATTATTATTGATATTTCCGGCATATTTTTAGAGATAGATCAATCTTAACCCAGTGTTAAAAAAGTGTTTTCTAAGTGACTCTTTATTAAGGCCTGTGTCTTAGCAGTGGCAACATTAACAAATCTATTCGACTTCCTTTGAGCTAAAATGTAAACAGATTATTAAAAAAAAGGGATTTCGTTAGGTCGAATTTTAAACAGATAAAAATGATAATTAAAAAAAGAGAAATTAAAAAGACTTAAAAATGTACCTGTTCCCAAACTTTGAACGCATTATAATATAACTCAATTAAAGAGGAGCTCGATGGCGCAGGTGGTTAGCGCGTTCGGCTGCGATCGTTGAAGTTAAACAACTTTCGTAGTGTTCGGTCAATGGATGGGTGACCAAAAATCTTCTATCTCGAGTTACTCCGTGCTTCAGAAGGCACGTTAAGCCGTTGGTCCCGGCTGCAGCTGCTGTCGTTAGCACCCGTCAATCCGCACTGGGCCAGCGTGGTGGGTCATGGCCCAAAAATCTGTCTATTCCATCCATTGGGAAGGCCTGTGCCCCAGCACTGGGGACATTAATAGGCTGATGATGATGATGATGAAATTAAAGAGTAGTGATAAACCTAATAATTTGCGTTGAAATGTAAAATTTAGTAATAAGTCTGGTTACATCGGCCATCTTTACTCTCGATAACAGTGTTTTGTATTTTTTTTTCCTTTTGGCTCAAAGAAAATTGAATAGCTGATGATAATGCTGAAACTTACCATCTGGACGGGGTCCTCGAGGCAAAAGCCCATGTCGACATCCTGCTTCCACAACACCTCGATGAGGTCCATGTCCTGCGAACAAAGGAATAACATTTTGTTTAAACAAACGCTGCAAAGATTTCTTCTGTGCTGTATTTCTTATGTGCGAGCTTTTTCTTGAAAACATCTCGAGGCTAACTTAATAGTTACGTGTTCCACCTAAATTGACCATAATATACTTAAAATTTAATTAGAAACTTAAATTTCAAGTAAACCATATCAGTTTTATTATTTGGTAATCGGTTTAGAAACATGCTTTCGAAAACGCCGGGATGGTATTAATAATGTAGGTCCCGCCATTATTATGATGTTTTTTTCTGTAAACTTATCACTAAAAGCCTGAATAAACACACGATCGATTAAGTGCACTGTCGATATAACGTACTATTGATGTAGCATATGATCGATTTAGTGTATTGTTGATATAGCGTACTATCGATAGTGTACTGTCGACAAATCATACTATGGATTTAGTGTACTGTCGATTTCGGGTAATATGGACAGCGATATTTATATCGTTGACTGTCAATTCATCCATCCGTCGATGGAGCGTTTTCGATATAGCGACTGATGCAGTGAGTGTCGATATTAAAAACCAGACCCGAATAGCTTGGGCTAGCTGCTGTGTGTCTTTTCTTACATCACTCTAATGACATTTGTCATTCGTTATCAGAGACAAAACATTGCCACCTAGCCCCAGTATGGGTAAAGAAATAAATTGTAAATGTCTCGAATTGCTATTGCCAATGGACTGACATAATTAAGTACATATAAATTAACAAGACTAAGATCAAATCAGTGCCAAATAAATTTTCGAGGGAGTAATAAGTACCTATTTTTTTACTTATTATTTTTATTGTACATCGAATCGACGAATGCTACAAATCTAATTACCCGCGAACAAAAAATATATTTATAACTTTCAACGCGCTCATGTCCAAGTCGCTCCAACATATTTTATTTTCTTCACGACAGCAAAAAACTGGGATGTTAATTGATGTAAAACTGAGATCGTAGCGACCGATAGGGCCATCATTACAAGACGCCATGTTTTGCGGTCCGATGGCGCGCCGCGATACAGCTCGCGCGGGAACGATGATCGCCATTTTGAATTTATTCGAATATGGAATTGGTTAGTTTCTTTTTATTTTCTTCTTGCATAGCTTTAGAGAAATGCCATTGAAAAAGTTTTGTTTATATAGCGTTCTAAATAGTTGTAGTTGTTGAGAGACTTTTGTCCGATTTTTTTTATGTTCCGCCAAATTAGATCGCTTTCAACAGTTTACAACTGCATCGAGTAACGCACACGTTAATTAAAAGTACCACGTACAAAAATTCTCCCGGAAAACCGAAGACGGCAAGAGACCGGACTGAACAAAGTACGGGGGTGTCCCTCCGAGTGGCCCACGCAATGCAGTAAAGGTGCTGTTCGACGAACACCGTTGTCAAATGTATGAGAACTCTAACGTCTCAGATTTAGCAGTCTCTAAACATGATACAAGGTAAATAGAATACTGCTAAATCTCATAAGTTAGGGTCCTCATACGTTTGGCAAACCTGCGCGGCGCGGCCTTGGCCGCGACAATACTGAGGGTCTACTCTCTTTCTCCGAAACGAACTTTCGATAACGAAGTTCAAACGAAACTTAATTTCATCAATTTAAGGTTACTACACTTCATTTAAACGATAAACTATCAAATTGAAGCGTTTTTTGAGTAGACTTAGAAAATCTACACCTTAATCTATATTCCGACGACGAATATTATTATAATTAAAAACAAACCAGAAACATAGAAAGAAAAGTGCGAAGTTCCGATCGAAATTTCTTTTTTCGTTGAATTAGAGTAGGCCTCGTCGTCGGATAGCCGGATAGCGCCTTAAGGGTGAAGCCAAACGAGCGTAATTTTGTGAGTTGTGAGTCGCTTATTTTCGGTCACTTATTTTACGTTCAACTGAATTTCTGTTGAGCTGCCATACGAACATAATTTATTCAGTTACTATTGAGCGTTAGTACGGGGTGTTCGTGTTGTCGAGTGCAATGGATCCATTAAAAATATTGTGTATTTACGAAGCATATTCAGAAGATGAGGCCAGAAAAAGAAACTGGGTAAACCCACTGAATAGTCAGAGGCTGATATGTGGACAGTTCCATACTTTATATGAACGTTTATGTGCAAATCCAGATATGTTTGAAAAGTACTATCATATGCCATTACGTGTTTTTCAAGAATTATTACACCACGTAACTTGTAATAAACTGTTGCTTCCCCACTCCCCTTCCTTGCCCTACCCGCACCCCGACCGAAATTCGGACGAGCTTATGCGCATTGAGTCGGCAGACAACTCATTTTGCGTTGTCGTGTGGCACCAACTGCCTTTTTGTATGAAAACGAATGCAGCAGAATTTCTGCGACCGAAATTCTGCGACTCACCACTCACAAAATAACGCTCGTTTGGCCTCACCCTAAGGCAAAACGAGATAGCGCAAAATTGCGGGCGGGCGGGATGCATTGTTTACGTGGTACGTGGACCAGACGAATAAGAACGAAAGATAATAATATTAGTTTTTTAGTTGCCTTGAAAGTTTATTTTTTATTATAGACCAGCTTTTTTCTGAATAACCAGGCGCTTTGTCTATCCTAGACAGGCATCTCCACTGAAATAGATGGTAACCCTAGCCAGAGCTGGCGTGTCAGTGAAATTGACGCCACTACTGTAGCAATATGATCAATATTACTCTATTATTTTATTCAACTTTAACACCACCCCACCCGGTGTAAAGAGAGATGCACCAACTTAACTTTAAGTGTCATGTCTAAGTAAAATTTCACTTTATTTTAACTAGTCCTGCCATGAAAACATTGGACTATATTGCTTTGAAGTGAAAAAAACACCACCAGACAAGACTTAAAATCATATTAGAGGCACAAGCACGAATTATGACAGCTCCATAATCGTATCGCATCGTCGAAAACTAATCTAAAACTATGCAGCGCCCCTACCGGAGGTAAGAACAAACTGGCTCCTTCTATACAAAATTTGACGATTACGAAACGACAGTTCGTGCTTGGCTTGCGCATCTACACATCAATCGACAGTTGATAATCGGCGGAATCAAAGTTACCTCACAAGTCCGAATACTCGAGATATAAAATGTAAAACCTCTTTTGAGTTATGGCTTATGGAACAAAGTTCCTTTTCGGATGGTAGGTACACAAAATGAGCGGATAGCGTAAAAAAATAAGGATTTTTCCGCCACATCTGTCAGTTGTTTCGTAGCGTATTATGTAGTAAACTTCGTTTTGAACCCAGTGTTCAACGATACTCACGTTTGTAATACAAAAGAAACTTAAATAATGTCCTACGAATCGACATCTCATGAATGATGAAAAATTTCGAGATTTTTTATCTATTCACGCAGAAATAAACAAAATTACAAATCAAACTAGGTATAACAATTTAATTTTCAGTTATCCAGCATTTGAGCAAATAAAATATAAATTACGAAAAACGTTACGACTGAATCCGACATCTAGGGGATACAGTTTTAATTAAATGCTCAAAACTAATTCAGCGCCATCTGTTATACAGGGTACTAGTTAACTTCAGAGGAAAGAGTTCGCTGTTTCATAATACCACCTTTTCCATTAGATGGCGCTTTTCGATTAGTGCCATCTATCGCTGAGTAGTACAACTACGTTTTACTTGTGTACAATGTATGTCAAAAGCAGAATAAAAGGTAGCATTTGGCGCTATCAGGAAAACGTTTTAAAAACAAGGTACCTATATAAAAAAATATGTAAATAAGTTTTCATTTTGCAAAGCGAATTTTAAATAAAAACCACAAAAATAAACTACCTTGGATTGAATAATTTGTTTTACGCTTCGATCAATAATTGAAATAGCCATTTTTTATTAATGTAAGCTTCGTACTGAAAAAACAAGGTTATAAACATGATAACGGCATGTTCGTCTTGCATTTTCTTAAAAACAACAACTTTTACAGTTGCTGTTTGCAAAATACTTCGCTAGATGGCGACAGTGTATGAATATTCTGGAACAACAGCTGTTCTAATCACAGGACTTCTGTCATTCTGTCGAAATATTGAGGCCGGGAGAGGTCAAGGCAACGCAAGGTCGGCCGGTCGTTTGCATCTAACGATGTCTACGCCTACGCATCTCAGGTATTTACGACTTTTGCACGTTTAATGAACGGAGAAGTACTGTGGGTGACATGTTAAAGATGGCACTTTAGTAATATTTCATCTTGAACTTTTATGCTAGGTGACCTAAGATATATTATCAGTTTCAATTTTAAAGTATCAAACAAGCTGTATTGATATCAACCACTTTTCGTGGAACTCCGGTTTCCCTCACAGGTACTTATTTCTTCAGGCCTCTTTTCTCATGTCATTTGTTTTCATGCTAGAAGTAATTTACAAGCAATTCGGATAGTAACGTTCTAAATCAAATAAAAAATCAAATTAAAAATAAATCAAATTACCCATGCTGAAGTTTTTATGATTCTAATTTAACTAGGTACTTAGTTCGAAATACAATGTTTATATTTATTTTCGTTCAAATGAAAGTATGTTCGTAATGTAGTAACAGAGTGAAAATTACGTGTGTAAACAATACGAATGCGCAATATTGTTAGTACGTAAACAAACATTATTATCAACAACAAACAATACAATGTCTATTTCAAATTCGTGTACGTACATTAACACGTGTTCCTTTTCAATGCAAAATATTTCTATAGCTGTTATAAGAGAATCACACCAAAATAGTTCAGTAGCAGGCCCATTATAGTATTACAAAAGATTACAAACAAGAAAATACTTAAATTCATCATCAGCCTATTAATGTCCCCACTGCTGGGGCACAGGCTTCCCTATGGATGGAATAGGGAGATTGGGCCATGACCCACCACGCGGGCCCAGTGCGGGTTGGTGGGTGCTAACGACTGCAGATGCAGCCGGGACCAACGGCTTAACGTGCCTTCCGAAACACGGAGGAGCTCGAGATAGTAA